ATTCCTGCAGAATGCGGCGGGAAAAGTGCTTCTTTTCCTGCAGAAGACTTTCACTTCCCGCGTGAAAATGTTTCATTTTTCCCCCAGGAACTTGCGGAATCACGCTCGTTTTTTTTCACTGGGTAGGCTTTATTTAGTTTCAGTGAGTTTAACATTATAGCAAAAGTTTCGCCTGAAAGTTTTCTATCTCCTGTGATGGTGAGAATACTTTCAAGAAACAGTAGAACTTGTTATCCATGATTTCAGATGGAAACGACCGAGAACGCGTTTCAGAAAAAAACTTAGCATTTTTAATAAAAAAAGCGTTCTAGACGAAGTGGACTGCGTTCTTTACCGTTCCATTTTCGAATACGTTCCACATTTTTTGAACGTGTTTTTTTCTTAAAAAAAGCTAAGTTTTTTTCTGTGAATATTTTTCACTGGGATGGGGATATAAGATAAGACTTTTATTTTTTAAAAATGAATACGAACAATATCAATTTCAAATAACAGAAATTCATCTACATGTGCTAGATAAGTTAATACGATTGAGAGCACGACTCTCCTACAGTCGTGCTCTTGGTTTTAGAGCAAAGAGAACAGGTGATGAACGACTTAGAGTCGAATCAACAAGAATTAGAAATGTAGTACGTAGTGAACTCAAACAATTTAGACAAAGTCAATTAGTAAAACAATTAGCAGAAAGACATAAACCTGGAAGAGATTCAATGATATTTTGGAATAGAACAAAAAAACAATTTAGAATCTGCTCTTCGTCTCTACGTGGATTTTTACTGCTCAGTGGTGAAATGGTAAAATCGAAAATGGCTGATTTAGCCGCTGATTATTATGAAAAGCTCTTTGAAGAGCCTGTTGTATATAGACCGCATCCGTATGTCGACATCCCCTATGATGTATATGAGGATAGTCAAAGACAAATACCTCTGGTAACATATCCCGAGATACTCAAAGTATTAAAGTGGAAGAAGAAAAAACGTTCGTGCGATATACATGGTCTCTCGCCATTCATTCTTGGTAAAATGCCCGAAAATTATTGGCATTTAATGGTAGATTTATACAACCACTCCTTTCGAACTTGTCAAATGCAAAGTAAATTCAAAGAAGTTAGAATGGTGTTGTTAGCCAAGAAAGATGCTATCTGTAAACCTGATCAAACTAGACCAATTTCATTAATTGACAGCTTTCTGAAAGTACAGGAACGACTGTTTCTCAGTCGATTCTTAGAAGTAATCAAAGCGAAAGGTCTATTACCCGATTCACAGTCAGGATTCGAATGGAACATCGACTACAGACTAGAGTTCTATTACTAATCGAACAAATACAGTCATATATATCTAATAGTTCACCGGTAGCAACAATATATGTGGACTACAAATCAGCCTTTGATCAACTTTGGTTCAAAGGATGTATAGGCAAATTAAAAAGACAAGGAATTCCGATTCCATATGTTAATTGGATACATACTTGGTTAATAAAAAGGCGCGCTGTCATTGAGATCGCGGGTGTCAAATCTAGGTGGTTTGAAATAATGAGAGGTGGTCCTCAAGGATCCAGTTTTACTGCTACTCTATTCATCACCTACCACGCAGATATGGAATATTTCATCCCAGAAGCAATGTCCTTTTTGTTTGCCGACGATTTAGCTGCTGTACTTGCTGGACAAATTGGAATTAAATTTACGCAACAGTGTATAGATCTTGAAAAAAGATTACATATCTTCTTCGAACAATTAGAATTTTATGCAGTATTAACTGTACAACGGATCAATTGCATCAAAACAAAAGGCATGTTTTCAGCACGTGCAATTAATTACCCGAACCCAATGCCTGATATCAGATGTGAGAAAAATGAGATTGAATGGGTCAAAGTATTCAAATACCTTGGCTATTGGTTAACAACGAAGTTAGGATGGGGAAATATGATAAACCAAGCGTGTAAGAAAGCTCGTCAGCAAACTGCAATGATCAATTCTATTAGAGTTAGTGGCACAACATCCATTTCGCTACGAATAGCATCATTCTCAACCTTTGTTATGCCCTTCTTTACTTGGCTATTTGTTCTTTATCCGCTATTTACCAACTGCCAACGTTTGACACTCAGCCACTTTTACTATACATCGCTGAAACGTGTCTATCACTGCTTACAGTGGGAAGATCTCTATTTCTCCTATACATATGATGAAAAGTCACTAGACGATCATTGTTATAATTACTGGCTAAAGTACCTGAATTCTCTATCACAATCGAATGACGGACGTTTGTTAGATGAGCAATCTGTTACTAATAGGCATCGTTATATATGGCAAGAGAAAAGGGAGTCAATAAGATGCCTGAGAATGTCAAAGCGATTCGTCGAACA